CAATCGTCATTTTGTAGAGCGTTTTTTACTGCATCTTTTCTTCATAGAGACAAATTTACAACCACTTGTTTCACTATAGAAAAATTTATTATTCAAATCGAGTCAGGACTTCTGGCCCACCCTTTATTCCAAAGGAAATGAAATCTCGCAGATTCGGTCGCTAAAAGTGACTGAATCGCAAAGTGATCAAACATGTCCAAAAAACAGGATAACTATTTCATTGAAACTTACTGGCGAAGAAGGAGTGGTTCAGAAATGCTCGACGGGAAAAAACCAGTTTTTGTGATCACTGTCCTGATGGGCTACCATATTTAACTTCATTGGCATTATTTCAGTGTATTAATTATTCCCCTTGATGGTACATTAACATTTTGAAACATGATTCCAAGATTCCTGTCATTTTCGTTAGTCCGGACATTCTGATTTGGCAGAAGAGTGAACCAACAAGTCAATTTGGCACATTCCACTTTTGATCATTAACATTAAATTAATAACATCTTATATATATATATATTGTGATCACACCACGTTCACATTTAGCATTCGTTAGCACTCTTCGGGCAAAACTGAACAATGGAAATCTTACACGCCGTAAAAGAGCTGAACGCAGACGTACTTTTCAAAAATTACGATTACTCAAAAAAATATAGTGCATTTAATCCGACCAATTACAAAACTCAGTTCGTTAATAATGCGACAAAGGCAGATCAACCGAGGTGGGGAAATTTCCTTCAGATAGAAAACATCGCTTCACCTTCTCTTCTGCTATTATGACCAATCTTCAATACACAGTTAACTACTCCTGCATTCCATGCATTACTCAGCTACTAAACTCTAAAACACAATAAAACTTCTACCCTAAAATACTTGAAGATCAGAATACCAGAAACAAGAATACTCGAATAATTGAAGAGTAGAACATTAGAATAGTGGAATACTTGAAGAGTAGAATACTAGCACAGAAGCTTACAACAATAGTCGAATACTAGACTACAATATTAGAAGACTGGAATATTAGATTACAAGATTACAAGAATCGTCGAATACTTGAAGAGCAGAATATCAGAACAGAACAATATAAGCATAGTCAAATACTTGAGAACTAGAATATTAGAATACATGAATGCAAGAATAGTGGAATCCATCAAGACTAAAATATTAGAAAACAACGAAACTCGAATACTTCAAGAGTAGAATACTAGAATGCAAGAATGGTGGAATACTCGAAGGGTAGAATATTAGAATACCAGAACAGCCGAATAATTCAAGAGTAGCACACTAGAATACTAGAATAGTGGAAGAATTGAAGAGTAGAATGTTAGCACAGAAGATTCCACGAATAGTCGAATACTTGAACAGTCAAATATTAGAACAGAAGATTATAAGCACAGCCGAATACTTGAAAAGCACAATATGACAATACTACAATAGTGGAACACTCAAAGAGTAGAGTATTAAAACACAAGAATAGTCGAATACTTGAAGAGTAGAATGTATTAGAATAGCAAAATAGTGGAGCACTTGAACAGTAGAATATTAGAATACAAGAATAGTCGAATACTTCAAGAGTAGAATATTGGAATACCAACTTACAAGGATAGTCGAATACTTGAGTAGGAAAATGTTAGAATACACGATTACTTGAGGAGTAGAGGAGTAGAATACAATAATAATGGAATGCTGGAAGGGTAGAGTATTAGAAAAGAAGATTAAACGAATAGTCGAATACTGGGAGAGTAGAATACTGGAATAGTGGAATACTTGAAGACTAGAATATTAGATCACAAGAATAGTGGAACACTCGAAGAGTGGAGTATTAAAACACAAGAATACTCGAATACTTGAAGAGTAGAATATATTAGAATAGCAGAATAGTGGAGCACTTGAAGAGTAGAATATTAGAATATAAGAATATACGAATACCAGAAGGGTGTAATATAGGAATACAAGAATAGTGCAATACTTGTAGAACATTAGAACAGCAGATTACAAGAATAGTCGAATACTTGAAGAGTAGTTAATTAGAACACAAGAATAGTGGAATACTCGAAGAGAAGAATATTAGAACAGCGGAATACTTGAAGAGTAGAACACCAGAACAGAAGCTTACAAGAATAGTGGAATACTTGAAGACTAGAATATTAGAATACAAGATTGCTGGAATCGTCGAATACTTGAAGAGTGGAATATTAGATTACAAGAATAACTAAGTTAAAGTTCGTTTTTCATGGCTCTGGAAAAACTTCTCTAAAAAGCTTCATACTCCTTTAATGAAAATTAAATAACTATGAATCCTGATAGTAGACACCACGTCTATCCAATAACAGTTTAGCTCATAATCGATTTTTTTTTTATGAAAACCGTTGTGTTTCTGACAAGGGATCCTTAAAGCGAGATACGTCTCTTTTTTTTTGCATCTTCTCGCCCAGATTTTCAAAACAGCAGGTATATATGAATGGTGCTAGGAATAGACTTAAATTAGAGTCAAATTATTTATGATTTTGAATTTTGTTGTCAGCTAAAGTTCCCTTTGCTGTAGATTGACTAAAAGACAATTACTATTTTTATCCACTAAAGGGTGCACAATGTATGGTTTTTGAACAACATGAAGAACAAAAACGCCACAAGAAGAGCAGCGATGGCAAACTGTAGCATAATATGTCAAAGTCATTAATTCCAAATAGCCATTATCTCAAAATCACATATATCGATCTCTCTTATGTGCTCAATCGATAAAACGCATAGAACTATAAGTATAAACTCATAAATATAATGCCGTTACTCGATATGCCATTTAGCATTGGTGACAGAGCTGCATGTTTACTGTAAAATGTTGCACCGTAATCTGCAGGTGCATCGCATAAGAAAACTGTTCTCATAAATAAATGTGTGATTTGCGCTAGGACGGTAGGATGTGAGTGAAAAAAACGTTTCTCAACTTCACAATCATCGTTCGCTTAAAATTCAGATTTATCTTTAACCACTATACATTTCAAAATAAAGCGCGGCCAGTTTTTTCAAAAATCTTTCATAAAAAGAAACCAAAGATACGTGTGGTTTCCTCTATTGGCAATAGAAAATTGAAGACACTTTTTTCTGAGCAAAATAAATTCTGAAATCTTAGTAGACAGAAAGATTTCGAGACGATCTCTTAAAACCCATTTCCGGAATTTGAAATAGTACCATCGCACCTTGTCACATGGATGGACAGCGAGAAGTCGGCTGTTTAAACTGAGAGTCGAGCTACACCTTTTAGTTTAGGCATAGTATCGGACTGCCCGCCACCGCTATTCACCAAACATCAGAACATTCATAATTCACTCAAAGAGCATCATGGCTGAGTCATTTTTACTAAAGTCTTATTCAGTTATAATTCATATACTAAGTTATCCAAAACACGAAAAAAGGTCAAGAAGATTTCGATATAGTTTGCAGTTAATATCATCATGATCAGCGGCTACGATTGATCGCATCATAAAGTGTGCCCACTTCAGTACGGTGCAGCTTGACTTTCGTTTTGAAGAGTACATTTTTTTACTATTTCTCCATGTAAAAAGCACTATTCGAAGTTTTTGACCTTTTCAAAGATCTTGTTAGAAGCCGACTTCAGAGATATATATCTCCAAAATGATTTCGACTATGGAATGATGCAGTCAGCTCTTGGCTTTTGATTAGTGAAAAAAGTTTCTTTCCTATCAAACGTGTTTTAAACTGGCTACATTGAAATTGAATTGATGGGAAAGCAACTGTCACTTTTCATCATAAGAAAAAACATTGTTCATTCACTTCATTATCAAAATGATTGTGAACTATCTTTTGGCTATTTTCAATAAAGATGGCAGTTAGCTTTAGCTGAGACACGCAAGATTCAGTTTCACGGGACAGAATAAAATGAAAGTGTCTGTAATAGTACTGTTCCAAAGTATTTACATAGAAAATTGCAGTAAACCGTGTGAAAACCGGTAAAGAAGGTCTATCCAATGGAAGAAAAGTTATTGCAGTATCTTCCTTCTAGGATGTAGATGGTACAATAACAGCACAAATGGTACTTATCAGTTGATCTATTCCTAAGTTCCTGAGATAACGTATTTGACTAAAGTTTCTAGATTTCAAGAATACTCAAAATTCATAATCACTATGATAAAATCTCGACGTGAGTACTGTTGTCACCACAAATGATGCCCTTGGTCGAGATTCACACAGGACAAGTATTCTTGTTGGACTAAGGCTGATACACCAGGCCGGATCCGATCGTAGGTAGGGGGCTCGACGCTCCGGTGGAAGGGATTAGTTCCCCTTCCCGGTGCCTCCACCAAATCCTTCATTATGCCGATAATTTTTCGACAATGAACTCATTGATCATGGGAGTTACAATTTCACATTTTCAGACTGCCTTTGTTCTAGATTCTACTTCTGTAACCATATTTGTCTAAAGACTTGGATTTTCATTGTTGTCTACAAACATAAAAGAAACTGACACTGTCTTCAATGAAGCATACATCATTAGAAAAAGACATCTATTATGAACATACTAAATAGGATGCCAAATGTGTTCAGTGTCTACTAGTCAAATAGCAATACTGTTACTAATAAGATGCTAGCCTTTAGCTTTATCATACTTATAGTAATGCCCAGAAGATTTTTCAAAAGCATTACGAACGTTTTCGTCTGTTGCTGTAAATGGATATTCAATATTATTATTTGCATCGTGGCTCATTTGTGTTATCAATTCCATCAAAAATAAATGAATCGCTCTTGGCGTCTTTATTTGATCAATAATTCCAGCTATCTCTTTTTTTTCATAATTAACAAGTGTCTTGAAATCAGTAAATGATTTACAACGAGTAGATGAGGCGTTTTTATTTAATTCTTGAAGAACATAGTCAGCATAATTCATTAATGATTTTGAGTTCCATGTTAGTGTATATGTTGGAAATTTATCAGGTCGTACAATAGCATCACGTATATTGATGCCATCGATTTTTGGATAGAATATGGATAAATAAAAGTAATTAGCCATAGTCAATGAAAGAATCTTTTTTGAAACAGAAGAACGACAAAATGATTCCAGTGATATTTTATTCACTTCATTATTTTGACTCAAAAATTGATTTTCATCAATACCATCAATAATAAATACAGTTATCTTTTTCATATGTTTTTTAATAAATGATGAAAAATCTGTTAAATCTCTTAATACATGACCAAACATTGTTTTCTGCATTGACTGACGTTGAAAGCCTTCACCCTGAATGATGGCTAATAATAAATGAAGTTTGTCAATATTTTTATTTAGAATACTAAATTCATTTAGATCAGTTTTAAGATGAGTTAACAATGGATTTTCTTGAAATATATGTCTTTCTTGAATTTGTACTTGAGCTTCACTAGCTTTATATAATGATTCGCGGGATTTCGCAAAAAGCCTATTTACAAAATCTTCCAATTGATTGATATTATCTCTATTATAATAATAACATATGATAGTTACCAAATTGATTTTCTCCTCGATTGGAATATCCAGAAACTTCATTTGTTTTTGTGCATAGTTGTCCATAAATTCTGTTACTAAGACTGATAGGATTAAGTGGGCAAATTCATCGTCCGACCAGTCTGTTGAACAATTACGACTGCCACAATCTTGTAATTTTCTGCTTGTTATAAATCGTTCTAAATATTCACTTATTTGTTTATTTAATAATAAGATTTTTAAATAATGATCAGAATTTAAAGTCTTAAAATATTCACATCTTAATAATGTTTTCCCAGTTCCATACTCAGCCAATATCATGAATGAGCTTGGTGACTTATCTGCATTTAATATTGATTGAGGTAATGCCGGTGTAAATATAATCTGAGCACTACAATCATCAGCCGTTGCTGTTGCGAAATGATTTTTCGCATCCTTGATACCATAATAAAGATTGAAATCTCTGTTTTCCGATTTGCTCATATCACATGATTGAGGATAGGGAAAGAAAAAGATGGCCAAAACTAATACTACTATGGCAATAGCGGCCGCTGAAGATAAAAAGGTCCCAGCATTGGACCAGGGTAGATTGACTGACCGGCTGGCAACTCGATGCTCAGATTCATTAGTGTTTTCTGAATTGCTTGGATAGGTTGGCTGACTCTCATTTCCATTTCTGGGCAAGCTATTTGCACAATTGGACAGTGAAACAGGAACTAAAAGAAAATAACATTTTGGTTGGCATGAAGTAAATTTTACAAGTTAGTCATAGAGGGATTCGTTCTGAATCGTAGAGAATATCCAATGCTGTGGGCTAGAACTGCATGAGCAGCGATCAATAGTGTGAAATTCGAATGTGAAACTGATATTTTGATTAACTACCTTGCATGGCAATACAACCTACAATTTTTGTCATACTGACATGGATCAGGTAGATTGTAGACACGTTGATGGTCATTCTAGTTTAAATTACAGAATGCTGCAGACAAAAAGACAAAGTGACATTAATATATGACGCTCAAATTTTTTAAGTAAAGCTTTTGTCATTTTCTGGTGCTGTCACCTGTACACGATCAATGGCTGCGAGCTCATCATTACCTTTCTCCCGTACAATGTCTGATTTCGATGTTCCACTGACTGTTGGTTTCAGAGTCATTGTTTCACCTTCGGTGCCTTGTAATGTAGTATCGAGATCAGTGTTGATCATGGGATCGATACAAATGATGAACGGTGTAGTTTTCGCGAGTGAAAATTCAACAAAAGCAACCTACAAGTTAAAAAATCTTCTATTCGAAACGAATAAGATCCAAACTTCTAAAATTTTAGAACTATCTTGCGATATATCAACAGCTAATTTAGATGCCAGGTAAAGAGTTCTCTGGAATGTTTGTAACAAGAGATAAGGTGTATCAAGACTAAACAAACCCATGAAGATGACTTTAGATCTATTCAAAGATGAAGGAAGAAAGAGAAAGAAAGGCATGACACTGTGTATACTAGTAGCATATCGAATAGGTGTAATGCAGCGAGAAGATAAGAGGGTGAAGAATGATTTCTCAGTATCATAATCGAGTCGACTCTAGTAAGGAATAATCTATCTTTTTTCAAACACGCATTCAGCGAGAAAGTTCCTTCTCATACACTTCGAAATTATCAATTAAACAGTGACCGTATAACTACTTTGGTTTCTTACAATGGAGGTGCTTGTGCTGTCAGTTAAAAAATTAGAAATTTTCTATTTAAATGGTAGCTCTCGCCACGAAACCAACAAATTCAAAATATATTTTTCCAGAAGAGATCTTTTCATTAAAAGTTTAAAGTTTTCTTTTATCTTTAGAAAAGTACATAAAGATTTAAACCCAAGCGAAAATTTTCATCAAAAATAACTGGTTTCTTTCTCTTGGAAAACGGCCGATTTCCATTACAAAGAACCCGCTAAATGAGTAAAAAAGATTGCCTTAGCTAGCTGCAACTATCCTTCGCCCGCTTCCCCGCTTTTAAAGCCGATTCTACGGTTCAGTGCAACCGACTGCTCTTTAAATTAGTACTCTCGTGCAGTTAAACGACCGCTGTAGCGCGTTTTCTTTTGAAATAAAATTAGTTATGAGAAAAGAGAGGGATGGTGAGAACGACCGCTTAAGTGGGCGTTTCAGTTACTCCCAGGCACGAGAAAACACTAAAACTAGCTAGCTGCGGTCGCTTCTCCAGCAAAAGCAGCTAGCTAAACGAGTAAAAATAATCGGGCTAGCTAGCTTCAGCTAGATTCACCTGATGACATGATTCAAAACCCGCTGTAGCTAGTACGCACTCATTGGTGCAAAAAAATATTCTAAGCTAGCGTCAGCTAACAGATAATCGTCCATTGTGTCGCAAGATTTAACGTCCGATGCAACGGGTGTAAAAACGAGCAAAAAAAAAGTAAGAAAGCCCGTTGAGAGGTTCGATCTCTGTATCTATAATTTACAAGTCTATTGTATCTATAGTACTACATAACACGACCTACATAAATATATATATAACTTTTGTTCGCTTTCTCTTCTGTGAGCGAAAATTAAGAACTTCGAAAACTGAAATAAAGAATTTAAATCATTTAGCATTTCTCTCTAACCAAGCAAAACCTCTTCAGCAGAAATATCTAGATGCTGACGCTAGATTAGTATTACGTGTAGGAATAATAAACAGTAATATATTATGCTAATTTAGATACCACTTTCTCTGCTGGGCTTGATAGATTAAAATATATACCACTGTAATTCGAATACTATTCGGAGCCTTAGTAAACCGTTGACTAAAAACACCAACAAAAACATTTAATCACCTTTTAATTTTTCACACGAAAAAGTCGCTGCTTTTTAATACAAAGTTTTTTCTATGAAAGTAAAGCAGTTTGATGGAATTTTGACGGCATATTCTGCCAGAACAACTTCAGTTCTACATATTTCATGTTAGAGCTTGTTCGAGAAAGCAGCCCAGAACATATCAGAAATCAAAAGCTTCAATGTACCGGATAGTCTTATAAATTTTTGGCAGTACTATAGGTGCACAAATCAAGACATCGACTAAAATATCAGAGCTTTGCATTTCAGCGAGGAAGGATACCTTTTCAGCATCCAGTTCGGCACTTTTCCACTGCACCATGTTTTACCGGCTTACTCTTCGGAACATGATGCATGTAACAAGTACACAGTTATTTCACAGCAGTATGAGTGTCATCCATTTAAAACGCCTATGTTGGAGCATCTAGATAAAGGGAGAGAAACAGAAAGCGGTACATCCAAAAAGTACAGGTAATCTATGTTATTTTCATAGATCTTATAATTTTATCCCCTTGAGAGACTTAACAGTCGCATTCATTCTATACTTTACAAGGAATTTATTTTTTCAGAATATACAGATCCGTTTGAGCTATTGCATTGCAACAACTGTATTCTATAAATACTCAGACATTTTAAAAAGTTATATCGAGAAAAGCGACATACTAACACGCATCTTATATGCATGACCCCGTATCTGGTGGGAAGTGAAGAAGTCTTTTCGCCTTTTCTATTGTTACAAAGTTGATCTAAATGTTTTTTTTGAAATATGACTAAGCCAAAAGGTATTTTGGAAAATCAAATTCGAAAGTAAATGCTTCAAGATTATCATCAACAGTTGATCTAACGGTATGCACCTATATTTTTCAATTCTGGTTCGCCATGCAACTGGAATTAGATCTCAAAATATACGTGAGATAGGTTGATATCGTATTGCTCGTCTATGGGTTTTACCGTAAAGAAACGTTTGCCGTATGTGATGAAATATCACGCTTGTACTTACAGAGAATGTGTATCCAACAAATACTAACGCTATGAACAGTTCGTTGCTAGAGCCGAGAGCTAATCTAGCATCCTGCGAATGAGGTGCTCTAGAACTATGCCGCTGTCCTCTATGCATCAAACAGGACCGAACTGTTCTTCGCTACATTCCGTAAGTCACCAACAACAAAGCGATATTACACCGAGGAAACTCATATAGAGGCGATAATCAACCATTTGGTGCATTTCTCACTTTATTGCATTTACTTTGAGATCTTTTAACACGACCCGCATGATAATTGAGCCCACATAGGCGAATCTCTTAGATTTCTGCCTTTTCTAACAAAGGCAACCCAGTTTTTGACTTTCGAAACTGTTAGAAGAAAAACGGCTCAACTTTGTAACAAATCTGGGCTTATTTTTTCTGCTTCCACAAACTGAAATTGCTGTGTACTTACCACAAGTTTAGTTATATTTTATTGGAGATATAATACTATTTTATGTTTAAAATTTATATATTAAAACAAAAACTTGAAAAAAGCAGTGTATGGCTGCAATAGACTACACGATAAGGTGACTTAACACTGTGATAACAAAAAAGAAATGATTATTAAAAGAAAACATGCACGCTGTGTATACAATAGACTAACGATAAAAGAAGAAGAGAATAGAGCACTGGCAAATAAGGAGATATCTCTTTTCACATACGATATCTCGTGTGCAAACATTTTTTTGTCTCAGTGCGTCGATTGAAACGAAAGAGAATAGAAAGATACGCATGTGCGAAAAGAGATATCTCCTTATTTGCTAGTGCTCTAATAACATGACCACCACACACATACACGCGGCCTGTTCTTTTCTTTTTCTCACTGTGTGTGTGTGTGTGTGTGTGTGTGTGTGTGTGTGTGTGTGTGTGTATAACACAGACTCAATTGTCTGGAAATATTGCGCGTGCATAGGCAAATCAGACATAAAAAAGAGGTTAAACAGTTAAGAATGATTAACTAAGGATTTTTGGTAACACATCCCTAAGGTTGAAAAATAAATAGGGAAAAGCGAAAGATTCTTGTCTGAAATGACAAGAGAGAAAAATTTTGCCAAAATGTCTTCAAGATATTCCCCTAGTGAAACAAACTGCTGTTCAGATCTTATTTATAAAGAAGTTTTCCAGCAAACGATAACTCGCTGACAGATTACACTGACTGAAGTTAAAACCTACGGTTAAAATGGTACGTCTCTCAAAAAGTTTTATAATCTACTTGACAAAAGTAGACCGTACCTGTAGCTTCTACTTAGGGCGACTGGCTATTAAAAAATGGTCTTCCCTACGAAGAAAGTGTTTTCAAAGGTCGGATATAGAGAGACTTTGATAGAGAATTTCTTTTCCTAATTTTCATCTCTTAAACGAAAGATTGTACAACTTGATCTTCAGAGTAAAAAAGGAGATTTACTGATTCTCTTATCTGATTGGCTAGTTATAAGAATATTTTTAACTAGTTGCATCGTCCGATTTAGCGGCCGCAGAAATGAAAAAAAATCTTAAGATCTATAAATTAAAGCAACTAGTTACAGCTGGGAATGAATCGAGTGATGCATCGGCTATTGAATCGGGTCAATTTTTCTAGTTAATAAGTAACTAGATGAATCGGCTCGCCAAGCGGGTGCAGCTAGCTCCATCGTCCGCTAACACGATACAACTTCTTCATCTTTTTCTGCAGCTAGTTGCATCGGGTTCTGAAACTAGTGCAACTAGCTGCATCGCCCGCTACTAGCTGGATTTTTCATGCTTGGGAAGTGTTCATGAGCGTTGGAACAGGAAGAAGGTAAAATAATCTCCAACTCTTCATTACATGTCTTATTGACGGCACGAATACGGTAAAGCAAACGAAATCAGCAAAGTGAAAATGGTATCCAACGAAGTCGGTAAATTATTTAAGAAACCCGCTCCAGACACCTCATAGCGCGGTAATCTATCTCAGGAACTTTCTTCTTCAAGGTGGAGTGGTCGTTCTCATTTCATTAATAGTTCTGATCATCGCCTTTCTTTATTATCACTCCCCACACAAACCTCAACTGCAACAATACTGAATTTCTCAGTTCACACTATCGAAAAGTTCTTCTGTGGTACTTATTCAATCATGTGGAATAATAATCAAGACTTCAAATGAGAATCATGAGTTTCATCTGCTCGATTCCGAAGAAAACAACTCAATAAACATTTGGAAACATGCTTATTCGAACAGTTGAGACCAGCATTGGAAAAGTTGTACAGAGTGATCGAACACCAAAGTACACAAATCGAAAAGCAAATTGAACAGCAGAAGATTCAACTAGAAGAGCGAGTAGAACACCAGCGAATTCGACTAGAAGAGCAAATGGATCGACAGAAGACTGAACTAGAAGGACAAGTGGAAGAGCCGAGAATTCAGCTCCAAGAAGTTAAAAGAAAAATTCAAAGTCAAAATGATGAAATAGCACGTGCTCATAGCGAAATCACAAGAATTACAACAGAAGTTCAGAGCTTACATGAGAAGCAAAGAAATGCAACAACAGGTGTCGATCAGGGAACGATAGAACCGGAAGAAGAAATCGAGAACCTGAAAAACAAAACACAATTCCTACGTAAGTACTTCTTATTTCTTACGCCAGTTTAACGCTAATTGTCTAGCCATTGAGTCAATCTCAAACATAATAATAAAAGAAATCGATGAATGATCTGAAAAAAATCTTCGAAAGTCAAAACAGTCTTGCAAAATCCTATAAAATTTACTAATAATATGAAAATTCGTACACAGAGGATCCCAAAGAAGCTTCTGCTATCTCATACTTTCCTACTGCTCCGCTAAATCATTGAATGGTCTAGTTGGATACGAAGAAATTTCAGTGGTGTAAGCTGTCGGAAAGTGCTCGATTCCTATAATGACTAATCCGAATTACTTATTGTTGAAACTCCAGTTCCTCAAAGATTCACATACTATTCACATGGAGTACTTAGAGATTCGAAAGATGGAATGCACTGTCTAATCAGATAATAAATATTTTCGATTTTTCGCAATTCCTTTTTCTTATCCTTCGAAGATTAAGCGACTTGAATTTAAGGGAGAGATATGTAATGATAAGTTAGTACAGTGACATACGTAGTAAAGATCATTGGGTAGACCTACGCACTCCTCTTTCCTCATGATCATAAAATAACCGATGTTCAAGTGCTTAGCGAATATACACAAGTGAGAAGACATTGTTCTGATGGAAAGTTAGAGTATTTTTTGAAATTCTCATTTTACGAGCTGAACTTTTGTAAGTAAGCTTTACATCTCAACAATTTTCAGGCAATATGCGCCCTTTTTCCAATGCTAATAAGAGATGACAGAATGAGCGTGTCGATCATTCTTTGATTCCATTAAAAATAATATTTTTCGCCTCTTCCAGTTCTGTTCGACTTTGATAATAGATTAAGAATGCAGACTATCTTGGTCGTTATATGATGAGGTACGATAGTTAATCCATTTCAGTATGTGTATTGTATATTAGTATCCATGTATGTTTTATTCGACGTACAATTTTCGATTGATACAAGTCCAGAATAGCTTGTTAGAGACCAAGTAAAACTTGAACTGAGAGCATCTAGTAGACAAAATGACATTAACTGAAATGTATTATTTTCAGTTCGACCCAAAGTGGAAGCGCCAAAGCCAGAAAATGAACAGTCGTGTATTATTGGTCAAGATATTCAAATCTCATGGAAGTTCAGTGGCATCGAGAAATCACATGTGACATGATCCTTTAATGGAGAACTACTATCCGCCGATGACCGATTTCAAATCATGCACACTGAGCATGGAACAGCGACACTCTCCATTCGTGAAACCGAACTTGATGATAAAGGTTTCTATACTGTTCGAGCAACCAATGTTGAGGGCGAAGCTGAGGCCAAAACTACACTGTTCATCATTTGTATCGATCCCGTGATCAACACTGATCTTGATACTACATTACAAGGCACCGAAGGTGAAACAATGACTCTGAAACTAGCAGTCAGTGGAACACCGAAACCAGACATTGTACGGATGAAAGGTAATGATGAGCTCGCAGCCAGTGATCGTGTACAGGTGACAGTATCAGCTGATAATGATGACACATACGCATCGACTATCTTCAACGTTCAGCCAAAAGACCTAGGGGAAGATTCAGCCAAGATCACTCGTGTTGATGAATCACTCCAATCCAATAAGTACAAAGTCACTGTCTCGGGTATGTGGGTGTGGATGAAGGTGCGAGGATGTGGATGACGGTTTTCTTTACACGGTCATCTCTCGTCCTATGGTATTTTACTTTACCTTTTGAAAGTGGCTTGATGAATTAACAACTCTTGCTAGAAGAGAAGATCCATGAAAGAGATCGAGAGTGTCCTGTCATTGAACTCTCCACATTACAGCTACCGCAGCAGAGAAAAATTGAGAAAAATTTATGGTTGAATCTGCTAGTCCAGCTAACATTTGAATGCTTCACGAGTTTTTCGGTAGTCACCCATGTAAAAATCGTAAAAACTTTTTTGCGTGACCACGCAAACAAAAATGGAAAAACATCGATGGAGTCGCATGATAACTGGTTACAAATGTCAAATTCTGTTTATTCTTGCATACTAAAATATTTACAAAATTCTGTATTTGCCGAACTAGTACAGAATTTTGTAAACATTTTGGTTTGCAGAATTTGGTATTTGTAACCATTTATCATGCGACTCCATTCATGTTTTTCATATTTTTTTTGCGTTATTCACCTTGATTCATGCTAAAAGGATTTTGGTTTTATCGACATGGGCGGGCCTGACCGATCAGGTGTGAGCATTCTGTGACCCAAGCCTGACTTGACTCAAGGTGACCACCATTTTGAGTGATCCGATCCAGCCGAGGTCTGTCTGGCACGTGTCAGTCTCTGACACCAATACAAAAAAAGTTGAAAAGATCTGTCGCGGTTGACATCATTTCGAACAGACAATAAGAAATAGCGCCTTCTTTGAGAGAAAACTTTGTATACTAAGATCATGCTCGTAGTTTCTCCTGCGAGGTAATGAGCTATATTAACCCATTGGAAAGAGATTACACGTCGAACTGTATCAGTTTATATGAAGGTCATTTGCCGTGAATTCAATTTCATTGTACCGTTTGGCTCCGATATGTAAATAAACAATATCTCCGATATCTGAAAGGAGAAAATCTCTTTCTGAATTTAAGATGAGAATGGGAATGCCTCTGTGAAAATGAAAAGGGAGTGGTAAGCTGATATTTTAGTAAAAAAGAAAAAATTCCGTCTTGTTCTTGAATGAGAAAACGTCGGTCTTAGTTGAAAAATATGATCTCCGTGCTAAACATACTGAAAGATTTTGAAAAATGTTTAGTTTATAACTCTGCAATGAGCAGTCTAACAGTCCATAAATTACCACAGGCTTTTTAGAAAACTTTCCTAAGGAACTAAGAAAAGATTATTATTACACTATTTTGGACGGTGATAATCCAACATGCACATTGTCATATGGTATCCAAGTATATAAATCGATCGTTAACTTTGATTAAGAGAGTGAGACTTGAAAATATATTCGAAACCTCTACTATTCTTAGGGAAGTTTTCTAAAACACCTCTAGAGACCCCATCGAAATCCTTTATATAGTTCCAGAGTACTTTAATTCAAGTTCAGTTAAAAAGTTAACAGACGATGTTATTTCTAATTCTACAACTGATCTGTTATCACCAAATTCTAATACGACAGGTTACGCGTCTGTTATAATTCAATCACAAATGATCTTATTTCTTTTGATTCACCAGAAAAAGATATTGATTTTAGTAGTGAATACAATTTAAACATAAATACAAATAATTTACTCTATTAGTATAAGCCACTTTATTAACGAAGAATATCAGCTGATTCTGAATTATTTTTGTTAATACGGTGAAAACATTTCAATTGACTGAAGAAGGACTGTGTACTTGTCCGAAACGTCTCTAATAAAAATGTTTTCATTTACTACGGTGTCAATTGTTCTGCTTTTCGTGAAGAATATCAGATTTGTTTGTGTCTACCAAAAGAGAGAGTAGCTCATTATTTTACTCCATCGTATTCAAGGTGTTGATTCGCTTTTAACATACCGATTGCACTACATCATCTTCAATTGTATCTAAACCTCGTGCACAATCAATAATAAGTCTTTTAAATGGAATTACGTCGCCAAGTTTTCTTCCATAGTTGCAAAAGATGTTGCAGCTTCTCAGCCAATTACTCCTCGAGATCATGATTTTTCTTTAACACAAGTGTGTTCTAATGCACCACGTCATGATCTTATAAGTAAAACTCCTACCAATAATTACTTAAATACCGAGTTAAAAAAATTAAATTGCACCACGATTATTTAATTAATTTAACAGAACATTTTCACACTTTTTTGATCTCGAATCGACACGATTTGTTTTGAAACGTTTGAATTTTATTAATTTTTCTACCATTTTTGCATTTTTACAATGATACTACAACATATAAATCACTTACCATGACAGCACCCAAAAAAATTACATCTCAAACTGTGTCATCCGATGATTCAGTTCTATCGATTATTGAAACAAGTTTAGTGGAGAACGTCGGAATACGTAATAAAACAAATCGAATTACTGTATTATTACTGTATGCCTGCTCGAGCCAAAAATGTCCACTGTGCGTAGGGACGGTAAACGGATCATAAGTTTTCGTAAGGTATCGTAAATGGAGTTTAAGATCTCATAAAGGGTACCTAAATGCATGAGAAGCTTTCCCTTATGATGGATACCTTAGCATACCTTTATGATGCCTTATGATACCTTACGATATCTAATGATCCCTTTATGATACTTTATGTATCTTACGAGAGAATCTCTCGAAACAATCGCCGATCGAGCTAGACCCAGTGAGAATAGAAAAATCTAGAAGATCTCAACTGAAAATTTCGCCACATCGTAGGAAAGCAAAACCAATCTGCACAACTGTTTATTATTCAGAAAGATTCTCCTCAGAAGCAAACTGTGAGCCATATGGTGAGAATCGAAATATGCGATCCATTCATACGTACGCGCATGCATTCGATCTAGTTTTGTGTCGAAGTCATAATTGGAAGTAAAGATTAGTGATCATTTGTTTCAGGATTTAACTAGATTTTCTAGAAGATGTTATCGAATATCTTGACGGGATCTTTGCAGTATTTTCTAAATAGAACAGAACAGAAATAAACACATAACGAGTATCGATCTCTAGACCTTTAGTTTACATACCAATCAGCTTACCCAGCTAGATGCCCCATGTCATTCCATACCACTTCAACGTTCAATATCTTAATTTCTCACTTTAGTGTAAACTCCTATTTGATTTTTCTGTGAATACAAATCACCTCAAAAACTTCTGAAAATGAAATATCATTTTGCGTATTTATTTTAGTGGGTGAAATTTAATATATTTTTAAATTTCAATTCGATTCAAAAAATATATTTTAAATTTCTTTTTCGTACATGATCAAAACTATAATCAGTTTTTATCAAAAGATTTGCTGCTGACTAAAACAATCAATTTGACGAAAAAAAAATGTACGCCAGCTAAATTCAAATTAGCACTCTAATTTAATGATTTTAAATTTCTTTTTTGACAAAATTAAGAAAATAACTCATTGCTATAGTCCGAATCTCAAAACAACTTTTATATAAACTTTGAAGAGATTTAGAAAATTTTTTTCTAAGATTATTAAGAGTCTTTCTATTTCTTTATGAAAAGAACTAAATCAAGATCAAGATAAAAACTCCAGGAGATTATTCAGTTCTCAGAATTTTGTCGTGTTCAGAACAAAAACACAATAACATCTTGAAAAGCCACTCGATTTATTCTTGTTGAGAGTTTGCGCAACATTAGTATGGAAATTCTGTTAAAAGTAATATTCCTTATTTTATACAAACCCAAAGGGGTCTTCTAGCAATAGAAGAAACCGAGCTTTAGTCATCTAATAAGAAGATCTTACTGCAAGGTCGAAACAGCGAGCATGACGCCTCTAACTCACGTCCAAAACAGATAGGTTTCTCATATCGTATACTTTCAATTCGCAGCAGAATAATGCAGGATGACACCAACAAAACACAACAGTCTCCGTGTGTAGCGAAATTATCAGATCGACGAAAGCGAATCTTCTCGTCTGTAAAGCAAATACGTTAATATTACTCGAGCGTCATAGGCCTCAATATTTTCACATACAATCTATCATTATGATTCCATCCACACACTATTCTTTTATTTTCAAAGAAAAGTAAAACAAAAAACAGCAGCAGTTATAGATGAATATGCAACAACAGTTCCTATTAACAATCTAGATAAACGAATCAACCAAGTTGAATCTTCTTGGTCAAATATCAATTCTCGTCAATTATCAACCTTTCTATTTAATACTACGATACTTCTAATTATCTCATAAGCATCAAATACATTTTCATATGTGGCCATAAATGGATACTTAACGTGATTCGCATCATCATTCATATTCTTTATAAGTTCTAAAAAAAAGTAATGAATCGCTCTTGGCGTCTTTATTTGATCAATAATTCCAGCTATCTCTTTTTTTTCATAATTAACAAGTGTCTTGAAATCAGTAAATGATTTACAACGAGTAGATGAG